GGAGGAGGCACAGGAGGAGGCACAGGAGGAGGCACAGGAGGAGGCACAGGAGGAGGCACAGGAGCAGCTTGGACACAGAAATCATGTTTTTTGATAGCCACAGATGGAATACCAGAAAATAGTTCTTTTCCATCGAGGCTTCCTTTGTAATTCCGAGGGGGGCGGTCATCAACTAGATCACGAATTTCAAGTTGGTAACAGCTTCCTTGTGCCAAGCAATAATATCCTTCCTCCGAGGGAAAGGTATATCGAAGCTTACCTTCGGGAACGGTAGAGTACCACTTTTTCTTGCCATCATCCTGGGCGACAACCGCTCCGCTGCTGTCTCGGAGGATCCAGCTCGTATCGTAGATATCTGCTTTATTGTTAATCTCAATCCTAAATCTACCAATGCCCTCACAAGAAAGAAGAGGTGCGGTGCTTGTGATAACGTCGACTGTCGCATCTGTTCCAGAAAGTGACATAAATTTGATGTAGACTGTGTTCTCGGTGCCCCCAAAATTTTTGATACCATAGACGTTGCCAACACTTAGAGCGGCACGACGCCAGCTCTGAGCGGCGCCTTCCACTGGCGGTGGCACCTCAGTGACAGCCACTTGATTGATTGAATTTGAAGTCTCCACATGTGGACCAGAAGCCTCATTGTACCCAATATACCAAAAAGTTCCATTGCCTTGATCCAACCTCAGGACAATTAGCTTGGTGGAACTTCCATCTTTTTGATAGTGAATAATACCGTTAAAGACATATGTTCTGCTGCTGCCAACCCAATCAAGTGGATTGATTGTAGCTGCTTGATTACTGTACCATCCCAATTCAAAGTTCTTGGCGGCATTGAAACACTTGAGTGGAGCCTGGGGGTAAATATGCCCCATAGTGCCTATTTCATCACCATATTCGTCGCCGTTCCAACCGCTATGCTCCAATCCAAAGTTGTGACCTATTTCATGCACAATAGTGGTGAAATCTGCGCAAATTTTGTCGTTGTAATAGCTCCAAGGACCATTAATGTAAGCTTCTGCACCCCAATCTGCGCCCTCAAAAGAAATAGATCCAGGAGGTGCGCAGATCATAATCAGGTTGTAGCTGCTAAATGTGTCACTGTATTGTTTTTTTATAGCGTCTTGACTTGCCTGTTCAACATTTACACCTTTTGCAGCAACATCGATGGAAACGTCCACGACTCCACCATTGCCAATGGGGGCAGGTTGGATGTCCAATTGGTTTCTGGAACAGGCAGAATAATGTGAATTGACAGACAAAGAATTTCGAAATAAAAGATCCCGCATTGTATTTGCATCAACTGAAGGCTGAGACCCAGTACTATCGATGATACGAGCAACCAAAAGATATTTTGTGCCGAGAGCAGGACCTGGGTTGTTGTTATCAAGTGTTCGTCCATGGTAGCGGGCGTCGTCTTCTGACAATTTTTCTATGCTTACGGATGCTTCATCGGCAATAGCTAGCTCTAAATCAGAAGTAATAAATGATCTCTGGAGATAAGCACCCGTAGTCTTCATCACAGATTGCCCAGAAATAGGATGAAAAGACTTAATAAATTCTTCAGAAATTCCTTGAATGCTGCATATCATTTTGCCATCAAATTGAGAGGATGGGATCGTCAGCTGTACACACCATTTTGAAATGCTGTCTCCAGAGATAGTCATCGTGATCTTTTTGAACATGACGAGTTCGATTCGTCCTAGGAGCTGGCGGCGGTTGACATTGATATCGCCCACTATTTCATGAGCGGAGGTAGCAACCTGAACCCAGTTTGCTAAAGCAAACATGAACGCTAGTATCGTGACTCTGTTGAAACTCGGCATGATGCGAAGAAGATATGTACGTTTTGAAGTAGCCTGCTCTTGTGTTGAAAGGCGTTATGTTACGGGTTAAAAAACGATTCCGATCAAATCGAAACGAAACCTCGGACGACCGTCACGATTTGATTCCCGTGAGAAATGCTGTTGTCAAGAGGGGATTAGTTTTCGTGAGTGGAAGGCTGGGGACAGGGGCCCCTGAAGGGCGTCTCGTGTTGCTCATGTTGCTGCTTGCCGACGTCGGAAGAAGCAGTCGTCGGAAAAAAGAAGCTACACTGAACACGCAATAAAATCGGTTACACTTGCTTTTTTGCTACATTTCAAGACGTTTTCAATCGACAATTGAAGAGAGCTATCGATTGATATCACTTACATTAGAAAAGGTTGAGTGGAAGTGCTTGAACTGGAGCAATTCCTATGGTCGGTTGCTTTGAACCGAGTAGTTTTTCGATGGAATGAAAGAACAGTTTACAGTACTGTAATTTAGCACGATGTATCAGCACGCTGGAGGCAGGTAGAGGTAAAGACACTAGGCTCCAGTACAATTTTGAACGCAGAATCAAAACCCTTCTATTTTGACCAAAAACCTTGATTCACGATTTTCTACAGCATTTTTGTGTACATCTTGTACCAGGATCCATCCACAAACAGCTATCATGTGCTTCTTGTTTTCCCCCCGCTGAGCAGCTTTTGCCCAGCCGGCCGCCTACACGATGCGGGGCTAGAACGGATCCTAATTACGCCTGCGTAGACAACTTGGCGGACTACGACTAGTTCACGTATGGGAGCGACTGAAAAGAACCCAGAAAATTATTTTGAAGAGGGCATATTCCTCCGATTTTACCGGTTGCCGTTGGAGGTTCGGTGGCTGTACCGAACTGTCCGGTATGAACTTCTATGAACGGTTCAGTACTCGTAGTAACGGAATTAAAAAATTAACTTGAGACCAGAAATGCATGGCATAATTTCTATGCAGGGTGGTCGTGGTTCGGACAAGTACTACTGCCGATTCTCCATATGAAAAATTGCATAAGGAATATGAATAAATACACGTGTAAGTGACTAAAAATACGTACCGTAGTAGGCATGTAATTGGTTCGTTATAAAATATTATAAGCTATATTCTGACGCACTCCATGTGCATTCCATTCGCGACCTATAAACCAGCGATATATATATATATCGCTTATTTATCACTGCATACGTATAACTTCATTCAGTCCCCTTCAACTGATACGCGATATCTATATCCTTCATATGTATCGTTATATCCGTGAAGTTGAATCATATACATGTCCGTATATTTCCAATTACAGAGGCCCACCTATATGAATAGGAGTCTTTATAAAAAAATGGGGTGTTTCGCAATTGCCTTGCGACCAACACTAATGCCTCAGATGTGTTTTACATCGTCTGGTGTTTCCAGTACCGTTTTGGTACTACTTCACCAATGCCATTAGTGTATAATCCTACTGCTTTGTACGTGGAACGGTACATTCATCTAACTTGCTTCTTTCAGCATCCTTTGAGAATGTACTACAGTATGCAATCTGTACTCGCTTATCATCTCCACATACAGTAACTCGATAGTCTTCGCAGCCTCGGGCCTGCCATCAGCTTGGTCAGTAAGTCAGCGACATTCGTGTCCCCTAACTCCTTGCATATTTGCACCCATCCGGCTGCAATGCTTTCTCTGGCCTTGTGATAGCATATCGCACTGGCTTTCTTTTTCAGTGCACTCTCAGGCCTCGTTACATTCTTTACGACTGATTCATTGTCACACATTACCTTGCATGCTCCATCAATCGGTACGCCAAACATCCGGAGCTTGTACCGAAGTCCTTCAATCATCTCGATTGCTATCCTCAATGCAACGATTTCACTTCCAAAGGTTGATGTTTCCACTGTGTTTTGCCGTTTGGAGTGCCATAGTATTGGTGCATTGTTGAGGTATATTAGGACCCCTGTATGCGATCTCTGCGTCTGCTTACATCCGGCGTGGTCTGCATCGACAAAACAATACATTGATACCGGTCTTCCTCGCGGTTCAAGGCAGTCGCCCGGCACGAGTTCTTCTGCCCCCGGGTAGAATTCCTTCCAGTTGCAGTTTTGGAACCTATTACTCCAGTCGATTGCTGGTTGCGAATCATTGAATACTATCTTTGACGATATATAAGCCTTGAGGTATGCAAATATATGAAATATCTGCTCTAGATGTCCCTCCCGAGCTTGTGCTAAATATCTTGATAGTAGGGATACTGCCACTAGGATATCCAATCTTCCTAGCTCGCATATCCATCGAAGTACGCCAACCAGTCCCTGATAGTAATTTTGCCTTTTCGCATCTAATTCCGGAGTTGGATCTATCTCGGGCCTGTACTTGTTGGATAACGGGGTCTCCGCTCTAGTGGGTAGTCGCTTCCCTGCCTTCATCAGCTCGTTTTCCACTTCCTTTATTGCCTTTTTAGTGTACTTCGTTGACAACATTGCCCATCTGTATTTGCCTGGATCATCCGAGTTGGGTATTTGTACTCTTTCGATCGTTGCTCCCAAGTATAACTCAGGTCTCATCAAGGATCCATCCTTTAACTTAAACATTCCTTCAATCGCATTGAACATGCTTCTCGTATCGACCGACATCCCACATAAATTGTCCACGTATGCTATTAGGTACTCATAGTATTTCTCGCCATTTGGCTTCACCGCTGGCCGTACCCACATGTCAGGGTCTGCTTTAGTTGGTATATATCCTAGTATCCTTAGCTTTTGTCCAAGGTAGGATCGGAAGCTGGCACCAGCTACACCCAATCCATATAAAGCCCTAACTACTTTCGCTAGCCGTCCTTCATTTGATCCGAACTCCGCTCCACATACAATATAGTACTTCTCCTTAATCGGAGCTGTGAGGTATGCATTCTGGATATCTGCTGACAGTATGTCCAGATCGTTTAATGCTGCCAACAAGAAGAATATTCTTACCGAGTCCCTGCTTGGTACTGATGAATAGCAGTTCTCGACCGGTTGTTTCCTTACTTTATGACCGTCAGCTGTTAATCTCGCCTTACGATCCAGTGTTAGCTTAACATCGAATATCATATGGTATGTTAAGTGTTCATACCCTACTGGGGGGGATTTCGCATCATCCATTATTTCAAATGCGATTGCATTGTTTCGCATCTCCTTTTCAATTGCTCGCCTCCAGTAATCGTTTTCATTCCTCCTATCCAGTTCAAGGGCTTCCTTGATTGAATGCGGCAGCTCAACACCGTACTTGTGGGACCGTCTCCAGTATTTAGATTTTACCTTACATATGATCCTGTCCCTCTTCCTAAGTACATCGTTGATCCACCATGCAAATGCTGGTTCTTGTGATAATCCGTTTCCCGCTGCATACTCAGCGACTTCCACTGGGAATGATTCCTTTACATCTGCTAGCCGTACCCATTCAGTGAACCCTTCTTTGAATGTTATTAGTAATTCCCATCCTACGGTTGTTTTCCGTCTTCTTTTTCCACTCTTTGTTTGTATCCAGCCATCTTCGGGCCTGATTGCTTGGTTGTTCCTCCGGTGATCAATGATTTCATCCAGTATCGTGTATGTATTCCCTTCATCATCACATTGTGCGTATATATTCTCAGCGATTAGGTTCGCTGAGTATGCTTTGGCCGTCCCATCTGGCATTTCAACCTCGTACAGTCTACTGTCGAGGAGTGGATTTGCATGTCTTTTGCCGACCGGTAGACCGTCATCATCCTTTACCCTCTTCTTTACGACACCTCTTATCCTTTCATCTCCCATAGGGATCATGATTTCCGCATTTATGTATTCGTCGTAGGCCTCGGGTGTGTAATCATCCGGGTCTGGTATCGATCCCTCCGGTCTATCCGTTTTGTAGTATTCTTCCTGTCGATCGTCTATCATCATGTCTGCAATGTTAGTGTCTTCTTCAGTCCCCGATTCTTTGTTATCATCTCCAATCTTCAGTCTGATTATCTCATCGAATCGGTTAATAGCATTGCGAGTCTCATCGCTGTTGATTTCTTCGCGGGGTAATTTCCACACTGTGCTCCTTACGATTGGTTTACATGATATTGGTAGCAACCAGTAGCAGTCCCCAGCTCCGTAGTCTTGGGCTGGGCCCAACCATCGTGCGATTTTTGTTTCTTTGTTCTCATCAAGGTAATACACCCAATCATACCAATTGAACTCTAACCATATTCCGATATCCGGTGTATGTCCCATCACTATCTCATATGGTGTCCGTCCTTTGTTGTGTGGTGGGTTAGATGCTGTTATAGCTCGCTTACCACATACATATGTACCAAGGAACGCCCATAGTCTCCGTGGGCTGTGGGCTTTACTCATATAACGCTTCATTTCTCTTTTGATTTCTCCTATCTCGCGTTCGGCGAGGTTCTGCCACCATGAGTGTGGTTCAGTCCATGTTTGGTGTATTCCATACTTCTTGATTAGTTTCATCCACAGTGTGCTGTGTGTGTTTGCTGCTCCTTGTTCCTTGCTGCCGTCTGTTATTAAGTGCTCCGGCAGTCCCACCTTGTTAATAAAATCCATTAAGCCGTCATGCGCCTGTCCTTTCGTTCTGATTGGGCAGAACCGGGCATATCCTTTACCATTTGTGGTTACCTGCGCTGCCACGTCTCCGTTAATAATGCTCTTACATTTGTAGAATGTTGTGTCTGAATACCATTTGCCTGATATTGTCCTTTTCCTATGATAATTCTGTCTTTTGAATCTTTTGTATGGGGCTTGGTTAATCTGGCGCATTCCTTTTTGAGTCGTGACCTGTAGTGTCTTTTTAGCTGTCTCTAGGCCAATGTTCCATGCTCGCGCCAGTGCATTTGCATCTATTTCTTTGCTTCTTGTCGTGATTGCCTTAATAGATTTGCTCGCGGTTTCATTATTTGGTGGCATATACAGCAAGCTGTCACCGGGACTCACTATTCCCCTTCCCCTATTCGCAACATCGTGTTCTAGTGCAACAGATATACCACATATCGATCGGATCTTCCTTTTACGGCTGAGTCCGTTCGGTACTACTTGCATCTTGCTTATGTTATAGCATTCTTGTATCTGTTGTTCATTGTTGCTAATTCCGTCCCCGGGAAGGGGACAAGGGAATTTCCGGTTTTCAAGTAACCTGTCTAATAGCATCCCATCATCGGCGATAGCTATCGTCAATATATTGCGTGGGATGTTAATGTGTTGGTGGGGAATTCGTTGCTGTGGATTGTCTTGCATGGTGGTGGTTGCCGCAGATTCATTAACGTGGAATTTGTCATCGTACGGTTCCCAATCGTTGTCGGAGGTTACCCAGTAGTATCTGAGTGATTCATTGTCAATTTCTTCAGCAGTCGGCTTTCTTGTATTGAAGTAAGATATAACACCATCCATTGTTAATGGGATAATTAACACGTCACTTTCATCTTCGCCGTATATCCTGATGTCATGCGTTGAATTGCAGTTGAATTGTCGTGGTGTATCATTAACCATATTGCCGGCGTCCCTCATTTGGTTAGGGCAAAGTAGTGATGTTTTCACTTTGTTGCCAAAATATAGTGCTTGTCCAAACAGTAATAGTATTGTATTTCCTGTGTGTTGGCAGTCGTATGCTGTAATACATGTACCAATAGGGACTCCTGATATTTTCTTATATGTAGAGGCAAATGGTTCAACGTCCACTCGAGGCGTG